TAAGTCAAGTTGTGTCTGAACTAATGGAGATTCATTACCCGATTTTCAAAGGTTCTCATTAACCCATTTTACATCAACATGAACAATAAAATAATCAAGATATCCATTTAATCACATACTCATGAATATCAAGTAGAAAGGTTTCAAAACCAATCCAACATGTCCAACAAGTCACTCATAAGTTCATACACTACGGAAGCAATCAATAATAATAAATAAAAGACCACACAATCGCCTTGTCTCGTCATCCGCCAACTGCTTAACCTACATCCATGAAGAGCAGGTGGGAGTGAACACAATTGGAAAATATAGTGCTCACCACTATGCATATGAACAATAATATAACGGTATGGTCGCAGCATGAACACAAACAATAACAACATGTCTCATCTCCAAGTCAATACGACAATGACTCACTCTTGTGTACACATCTTTCATTAGTCGCAGAAAGGGGATTCATTACCCTAACGGCGAGAGTGTGCGCCACGTAAGGACATGGCCATTCATTAGGTCTTACAGAGACTTGCCTCGCAAGGGCAACCGTACCGTAACTCGATGGGGACAACCGTACCGACGGCCATATCAGCTCACATCGATAGGCTACATGCTCACATGCATACATAGATCATACTGGTTCAACACATTTAAAACACACATGCATAGACATTTTAGAATAACTAACCCACCTGGATTCCAGATTTATCAAAACACAATAACCACTGGACGTAGGTCCAGTCTTGACTCCTCAAACACCTATATCAAGTCAAGATACTGCAATCAACATTTATCTTGACTTTGAACGGAAAACACAAATCATACTTAGTAGAAATTGATTCGACTAAGTTATTCGTGAAGTCCTGTGGACGTTGGAACACTTAGACTCGGCACTTAGACTCGAGCCTTTGTACCGTTCTCGGGAAACAATACGTAAGAAAGGGTCGATTGAGGGAGGACGGCACGACGGGTGCGATTCACGGCGGCTCACGCTCAGCTCGTGGTGGAGCAGCAGTGGAGGGCCACCTCGTGGAGGAGCTGTGTGGCGTTCGGCTCACCGTTGAGGTGCTCCGATGGACAAGCAGCGAAGGAGACGCTCGTCGGGGCTGCTGCGCGTGAACATGGATTGTCGGAGGAGGGTCGCGGTGGTCTCGTGATGGCCTAAATAGAGCGGAGCAGCAGCGGCAAAGGGCGGAGATGGTGATGCTCTCGGATGGCCTGCGCGCGGAGTAGTTCCGTCGGGGACCCTCGCTTGTCGTCGGAAGAAGCTGCTGGTCCCAGCGGGGAACTCGCGGAGGAGGAGGGTTCGCTGGTGGTCTCGCGACATGAGGGAGGTGATGGCGAGACGATGATGACGATTTGCGAGTATGGTGATGGCAAGATTGAGCGAGAGAGTGAGGGTGAAGAATTTACGAGAGGAAGAGGGATAGAGGCTGCGGGCGTGTGATCTGATCGAGAGAGCAAGAGGAGAGCAAAAAAGAAAAAGTTTGCGCGTGTTCTGAGTTTTGAGCGAGAGAGAGAGAGAGAGAGAAAAATATAGGACTTAGGTTTTCTTTCTTTCTCCCCAAGAAACACACACACATGCACGGTTAGAGGCGGACGGGGTCTCTCGTGCTCGACATACGGCTCGGTTTCTCGGGCTTGACTTAGCCAATATGAATATCTCGATTCGATCGCACGACAATTAAAATAAAATTCGGATAATATTTATATATATAATACACACATTAATTATTTAAATAATAATAATATGCAATTAGACAAATAATGACATTTAGACATTCATTTAATAATAATAATAATAATAATAATAATAATAATAATAATAATAATAAGCTCAAAATAATTCTTAAACAACGGGTTTACGAATCGACCGGTTTCGACTACCGGTTTATCGGGCTCAATTTCATAAAATCCGAACATATATAATGCTCGAAAAAATAAAATAAAATAATAAATTTAATAATGCCGAAATATTCAAAAAATACATTATTCAAACGGATTATATTCGGTTCACGCAATTAAACCGAAATCGTCGAACGACGAACGTTTTTCAATAAAACGATCGAGTATTCCAACCTTTTATCTAAGTCGACATCGCGACCAATAATATAAATATAACCTTATAAATAATATTTGATAAATAAAATAATCCAAAAAATTCTATAAATCGAACGGGGCGCTACAATCTATCCTCCTTAAAACATTTCCGTCCTCGGAAATGTGAAAGAACACGCATATAAAAGAAAACGACAGACTCGAACGGGAATTTCCAATCACGAGGTCCGGGTATCATCCTCCAGAACTCGATTCTGCTCCCATGAGTCCTATCGCCCTTTACTAAAAGGCATACACTCACGTACAGGAACCAATCTGACTTGCCCTATGCTCATATGTTTATCTTCTTGCTTGGGAGGGTGATCAGTCCTGCCCGAGCTCAGGCGTACATCTTCTTGCAAGGAACCCAGCCCGGTCTGGCCTATACTCATGTGTATCAACGATTTGCTTCTTACCTAACAACACACAAGACCTCAACAGGTCGTTCGGTGTATTGCCAGCGTACTCCGACTACCTCACCATCAAGGTGGACACGTGACGCCAAGTTTCAGTCTCGTGTCCGAGTCACACTGATAACTTGCTAATGATTTCATCACGGACCGTGCATCTCCATCAGAGACTAGGACACGGTACCACATATATACAACACGACACCACATAATACATACGACCCAAGATGCTCATACTCTCAAGGTATCGACTCCATGAGTCGAACGCAGCCCTTATGTGCAAACATGAGGATTGACCAATAGCAACACGAGACTGAATGACATAAGCATAAGGCAATGAAAGCCAGACAATAGAAGTAGATGCAAGAAAGAATGCGCTCTTAGTCTTAGAGAATGCACGAATGAATCAATAGTGAAAGGAGGTAAGGAAGTTCGAAAGTAGCCTGTCTCCCTGTTCTCAGTGCCAATGCCTTCGCTCTGTCCAATCTCTTTTTAAAAGGGCTATGAAACCAAATCTAACCAAGCCGGAAGGCTAGCTAGTCTAATGCGAGGAGATTCGATTCATCTCTATCAATGACTGAAGAAAGAGGGCTAGAAATTCCTTATTTAAGAGGGAGGTTTCTTTCACGGAATCAACTATTTGCATACGTTACCACCAGTGCCACATTTACTGATTAAACAGCGGCTTTCAAAGAGGCTTTCGAGGCCTTGGCCTGCTTCTCTAAGACCGGAGTCAATAGCAGCGCTTATTCCTTAAACTTGCATTCAAACTGATCAATGCTTTGCTACCGGGCTTCTAGTTGCCCTTTCTCCAACAGCTGAAATAGCAGCCTCCACTTCACTCTCTTGAGAGCTAGCTGCAGAGGATATTATAAAAATAGCTGCAAACTGTGCACGCTAAGAGAAGAGGAGAGATGCTCGTAATTACTACCACAAGAAAGCCGCCCCCTATCGTAGAAAAGAGGCCCGTCACTTCGTTCGTACCTTCTTGGCTTAGGCTTTCAACTGAAGAACATGGCCTTGCCGCCCCTTTCTTTTTTCTGGGCACGAGAATACACGGTAGGAAAAAGCTTCCCGGTCATAGGTCAATGTAATCTTTAGAAGTGAAGTTCAGTCATAGACAAAAGAGGTAATTGAGCTTGAGATCAAGAAAGAACTCCTAAGCCAATATTGAATGCCTACGAACGCATCTTTTCATAGTCCCACGTGTGATTGTGCGAGCTAAAAGATGAGAAAGAAGGGACTTCCAACCCTTCTGAGGCCGGGGGAGGGGGAGAGTCCAGAGAAGTTTAGGCTTGCCCCTTCTCCGGTTGCGGCCCTGCAAACAAAATGAATATAAACAAATGTTTGACGCACCCCCCAAAGCTCTTAAAACGGTATCAATATGCTCGCGTTCTCGTTCTCGGTCTCATCAAAAGAAGAAGATTCGCAGACTTGTTGCTAACTATCTGGAGTTTTCTGATACAGGGTATTCCTGGCATTCCTTCTTCGCTAATGAGTACGCCCTAATTCATGTATTATGGAGCCGTTGTTTCTCTATCATCCCATCCCCTACTTCTACATCCTGAGACCCTTCCTCGGAAATGGGTGCGACCATAAGAACTTTTTGAAGCGAAGTAAAGTCAGAAGTATTGGCGAAGGGAAGTGAAGTCATAAAAAGGGAGAGGAAGTAAGGCAAAATAGCCCCGTAACTTCGGGAGAAGGGGTGCCTCTAAAGGGGTCGCAGTGACCAGGCCGGGGCGACTGTTTACCAAAAACACAGGTCTCTGCAAAGTTGTAAAACCATGTATGGAGGCTGACGCCTGCCCAGTGCCGGAAGGTCAAGGAAGTTGGTGACCTGATGACAGGGGAGCCGGCGACCGAAGCCCCGGTGAACGGCGAAGAAGGCTTCCTTCGGGGGGGCTCGAGCCATCAGTGAGATACCACTCTGGAAGAGCTATAATTCTAATCTTGTGTCAGGACCTACGGGCTGAGGGACAGTCTCAGGTAGACAGTTTCTATGGGGCGTAGTCCTCCCAAAAGAAAAGGTAACGGAGGAGAGCAAAGTGAGACTCTAAAAACTTTTCGAAGCGAAGTGACGTCAAGGTTCGATGTAATTGACGAAGCGAAGCGCAGTGAAGTCCTGGTTACATTGACCTCAAAGTCAGTGTTCGCTCTGCTCGCAACCCTTTCTGGTAGTTCCTGGTCTTCTTGTTTTCATTGAACACCCTTTTCATTTCTCTTTTTGAACTTGCTTAGTAGGCCCTTACCTTTTACAGGGAGTACTGCTTGCCTTTAACTCCCAGACCGGGGAGTTCACCCGCTTCCTTACTCACTGTCACTCAAACTAGATCCCTTTCGTTCCTTTCCTATAAGTCGTTTTACTTCACTCCTTCGCCCTTAGCTTGCCACTTTGGAGCCAGGTACTACTCTAGGCAAACGTAGACGACGAGCAAAGAAAGAAAAATAGCCATGGAAAGGAGCTACAACGTGCATGCTTTTGTTGATAGGCTTCATTCATTAATTCAGAAAACACTTAGAACCTCGGTTTGAACCATATGAGACCTCGATCCTACTCTGAAGCCCAATCCCGCATGAGTGGTTGTACTCCACTAATGAGCGACGCGTATCTGCAGTACAATCCATTTGGTCCGAGTCTTCCCATCGTGCAATGACAGTGTGCCTTCACCCCATGGTTCTCCCATTTTTGGCACTGCAAGCAACTTTAACACTTTCTTTAAGCGGTACTGCCACTGAGACTTAAATATTCTTCTTCTTATTAGAAGACTTTCTTTCATTCTCTTGGTTATTATTTTAGATAATTCTGCTGAGGACTTCTATGACTTCACTTCGCTTTGCTTCGTTTGTAGAGTGAAGGTGTACTTGACCATGAATTTAGGATTTTTGACTTACAACCGACCCAAAGTAGCTTAATCCTGAATCAAGGTGTGGATCCGACCGGCCAGTTCACCAGCTTGAATCTCGTTCAATCCAGTTACACGGGCAATCCCATCTCCACTTGAGACCACTCGACCGATCTCATCCACTTTCAAATTCGTGTAAAAGTTGGTAATCCTACTTTCTAATAAAAAAGTGAGTTCACGTCTGGGTTCCATAATGAATTCAAAGATTGAGTCAAGGGAGAATGTCGCTTTTTGTTTTGACAGAGATTTTATTTAGTTAATCGAAAAAAAGGAAATAGCCAGGAATTTCTGTTCTCTAATTCTACTCCCATAGCCCCCTGGAACCTATGCCCTTCCCCTAATATTGACTAAGACCAGCTTGGATGTAGTATTCAACTGTTAGTCCATTGAAATACAGATCCTTAACAGAATCTAAAACAATAGGGTTGTTATCGGTATCTCCACACACCTCCCGTCTTCTTTTAATAAGGTCTTCTCCAGGCCCGACCTCTTCTCCGGCTAAGGAAAGGAAAGAAAGCTTCTTCTCGAGATGACCAACAACTTTGATGGAGATTCTCCCTAACCCAAACCTGCGATCTCATTTGAAAATCTCCTATTTTCGGGCGGTGGATGCATTCCTTTGATAGGGAAACAAACAACTTTGAGAGAGAAAGCCTATTTATTTTCAATCGACCGCGGGTTTCGAAAAAAGGAGTACTTCCAGAAGGAAAAGAGAAGCAGGTGGGCGGGAATAAGAAGTGCGATAAGCAGCTCAATTACATCGACCCTCGTTTGATCAAACAATTTATCCTGATGGAGGAGCAACAGGTCTATTCCCCGTAATCACTAGCATTACATACGATAAGCTTCGTCCTTTATGATCTCAAGAGGCAGGACGAAGCTCCTATAAGAAATTGCGTATATAAGAAAAGGTCTGTACCTATAGGATATGGATATAGTTATAGGAAATCCCCTACGAAGCTAATGACTAAAAAGTCAATCCTTCTCTTCCTCCATACCCATACTATGAGCACTTTACCAATCTATCACTTTTGATATCATCCTCAATGTAACCTTTCCTCTCCTTTTTGTCGAGACTCACTTTGCTCTCCTAACTTTGAAGTAAACCAGTCAACTAGCCTATATGACTACAAGGCAAAGGCGCTGACCTTTGGTCGTCACTCTTAAAGAAAGGCTTCTACTCCTAAGTGAACTGGGTAGCTAATGAACTCCAGGTATAGGCAAGAAAGGAAAGCATGCAAGTAAGAGAGGCCAGGAGCTGCATATGAAAGAGGGAAATCGTTAGTTAACTCCTTTCTTCTTTCTTTCTCTGGTTTGCTGGTTGAATTTCCTGATTGTACGTAGAGAGAAGCAAAGCACAGCAACTGAACTACTTCCTTAAAGGTTTGAGTGAAGGAAGGTGAAGATGTTCCGGGTCGTTCTTCGGTCCCTATTCTCTGGCTAAACTACTAACCGCAAGTATCCCCAACATGCAGATGGATTAAAGCTACTTGGCTTGCTATAACTTACAGTTTGGTACCGAAGAGAAAGGACAGCGATAGCGAAATGGTTAGTGAAACTTAAACTTGATAGGGCTAACTACTAACGGAGAACCAACCACCCTTTTAGGGATTATTTAGTAGGGGTTCTTAATCCATATTTCTTGTTCTATAATCCGGGATTAGACTGAACCCGAGCTAAAGAAAGGATAGCGATAGCGAAATGCAGTATCACCCGCCTGGGGCCTATTCTAAACTCCTAAGCAGCAGAATCGATGTAATTGAGTAGTGGTAGCAGGATTCTATGACTTCACTTCGCTTTGCTTCTAAAGTTGGGTCAGATTGTCATGTGCGAGCAACGAAGTCTCGTAGTCGTAGCTCTTTTGATAAAAACAGCACCCCCATCGAAAGTTGTTCAGCTCTTTGTCAATACGAACCTAGCCCTTATTTAGCCTTCAAGATGCGCATCATCGCCGAATTGATAAATAGCCTCGGGGCATGAGAATACCTATTTAGGTTCCTACCACCGGGCTTGGCGCCTAGACGAAGCTAGTTGTCCATACCATAGCGCTACATACTCGGACTCCTTCATCGATTTCTTTGATTCTATGAATATAATAGAATATAGAAGAATGAATGTTCATTGGATTCTCGTAAGAGTTCATTAAAAGGTAGTTGCCAACTCGCGTAGTGATTTCGATCTCTTAAGACTTTTTTAAGGAGCCGTAAGTACTCGACCAAAGGCGAATATTGATTATGAATGTTACGTGCTTCTAAGTCGGTGACGTAATATGCAATTATTTAATCCGCTGTTAGTTAGTAAGGCTTTAAGTCAGCTGACCTTTAGTTCCTCGGATTTATAGTCGAGCATATGTTATAACCTTTCGCGAAGATCGAAGCTAGCCTATATTCCTATATTAGCGAATACTGAGCTCCTAAGGCAAAGGTTTAGGAAAGATTACATTGACGGGTACAAACTTTTCGAAGCGAAGTGAAGTCATAGAAAATCTAGTTTAGCGAGGAATGTTGTGTTCATATATTTAAGCTTCTTAAATCCAAGACCGCCCTTCTCCTTTGCCGTGCACAGTGTGTCCCATGCTATGGCATGAATCCGGTTGCGTCTCTCCTCGTCTCCCCAGAAAAAATTTCTATTCTGCTTCTCCATTTCATCGATTACCACTGTTGTTTGTTGTTTGCATGGCATAACGCCGATGTAACAGATTGGATTAAGATTCTTTTAGCCGCTTTAGATAGTACTCTTGATTTCCAGCTTTCTCCTAACTTTACTCACCAGAAATCCATAGGTGCTTTTCCTTTCCCTACCATTATTTAAGTAGGATCTCTTTCCAGTAAGAATAGAGGTGTCGAATCGTCGGGAATGAAAGGATTTTAGGGCAATCATTCAGGTTTCTATGACTTCACTTCGCTTCATTTGTAGGGATTGTCTTCTTTGATTGGATCGCCCGAGGGTTTCCTCTATCTATGGGAGTGATTCCAAAGGGAGAAGAGTCATAATAAGAAACTAGAGCAGTATCAGCCTAGCCTAGAGCGGGGGAACCGTAGTCAGATGGATAGTTAGCCTATCCTTTTTATGTTCTCTTTTTTTTTTTTCTTTCCTTTCAAAGTGAGCTTTTTAGGGAAGAATGTTCTCCTACTCAGAGAAATGCCACCACTAGAATAGTCTAATAAGAAAGGGGCTCTTTCTCTAGTAGTGGACGAATCTTGATAGTCAGAAAGCAGTAAAGGAGCGAAACCATTCTCTTTTCCTTCACTTCGCTTCGCAGTCTCCTCTCCCCGATAGTCTACAGCCCGCCTAACCTATTTCCAGTAGCCAATAGAAGCGTACGGGCTTAAGACAAGGCGCTTTAAGCCAAAAGAAGGAATGAAAGAGAGCAAGGAGAAGGTAGTCAATCAAAGGGTAGTACCCTCAAAGCCATTACCTTCACAATATTTTGGAATGTATCATGGGAAAACGGCATAAGTTGCCTACTCGCTTGCCTCGTGTTGAATCATCCGGGAGTGACAACGATTCGGATGAAAGGTTCCCTCGGTTAACAGAGAAGGAAAGGCATTTATAATAGGGCTTTCTTGTGCCCAGAAAGAAGAGCAGATTGGAATCTCATACGAAAAACAAAAGGATACGTAATGTTCTCACTGTTCAACAGACTCGCATCAAACTGTCTAGAGTTTTTGGTAATCCGTAGTCTTGGGTGCGTGAAAAATAACTGAATCCAGTGAAAGCAGAAGACGATCGGGGAAATAAGCTTTTTTACTATCGTCTGTAGTATGGATGAACAGACATATCAGAACAATACAAAAGGTCGCTTACGCCGCCGGGGTGAGATTCAATCTCTCGGTCTTCTCCTTGGGGAAGCTGGTGGTTGCAAATAAATAGAATCTCGTCTCTCGTAATCGGGCGTTTTCCGCCGCCTCAGCCTAAGGCTTGGTGAGCTATGTTTAGTGACTGGGGCGGACTTCTCTTCTATACGATAGCACCTGTCCCCTTCTTATACTATTAGATAACCTCCTCGAAGGAAGGGCATGAATCAGAATAGGCTCTGGAGCTAAGAGAGATTGGCAATGTTCGAATAAGAGTGTGCCTAGCGTCTTTCGCTCTCTGTTATTAGAAGAAGGTAGGAATAGGTAAAGAGCTCCGTCTAGGGCAGCAGGATAAACATAAAGCTTTGTATACCTAGTTCGTTTTTCACCCTTTACAACTCTTGCAAGCTAGGAAGTCAATCAAATAGGCAAAAAGTTAGTTTCACCCCTGGGTAATTTCTATTAGTCCTTTCTATCTTTAGCTTTAGGATATTTTAATTATCCCTTGTAATTGACCTTGTATAAATAGAATGTAAGCCAACCCTAATGGGTTGAGCCACTTATTTACAACGGAAATGTCCGTTAGGCACAACTGCAAATGGAGTTTCTTACCTTAGCATTCCAACTGTAAGGGATTACCTTAGGACAACTGAAAATGGGACGGGAGAGGCTTTACTAAAAAGATGCGAATACATGGAAGAGTACACAGCTATTCCAACTTCTATTGCTCCTAATCTATTTATCCTTGCCCTAACTTGAGGATAAGACTAGTCTTACTCACTCACTGGGAACTAGCACTGCAACAAAAGAAGCTTACCCTAAAACTTCAATTGAAGGGTTTACTCTAATCATAAAATCTAACAGGAGGTATCCAAATGGTAGAGACACCTACTGAAATAGAATGGTAGTGAAAAAATGAAACCAGTGTTATACTCAAAGACAGAAAGACTAAGCAAGGTCGGTTGATTTAATGATTTGAAAAATGAAAATCAGTCTTACTTCACCTAGAGGGAGAAAGCCAATAAATAACACCGTTCTAAGTAAGAGACGGAAAGCACTCACTGTGATGAAGAGTTACGTACAGACTACACAGAGGCAACTAATGGTCGTCTACCCAAGGTAAGATGATGACATCAAAGCATAGGTCAGAAAAGGAGATCAAATCATCACTGAGATGGCCTCCTCCTCGGTTCGCTTCTGAGGATCTCTAGTTGGCGGGGGCAGCTAACAAGGCCTACTTCTCAATCGGTTCACCAGAAGGGCTGCTTATGAAAGCTAAGGTGAGTAATTCACCATAAAAAAAAAAAAAAAAAAGTCAAAGGCAGGAAAAGACTACAATGCCACAAGCAAGAGAGAAAAGAAAATGCATTCTCACTATCAGTGCCATCAAGATCGGGAAGTATCTTAGCCGACGGTGCGGTTAGAAAAGAGTTACATACCCCATCAAAGTATACGGTTCAGCTGGAAACTAGTCACCCTTCAAACTTGTCCTATAACCTACTTAATAACGGACTTGATCACTGCCTTTGACTGGATAGGAATGAGTTCCCAACCTCAACAGCCTTGACGAGAGAAGGCTAGGTCAATTATATCGAGCCAGAGCTAATCCGGTCGGGGAAGTTGGACTCACCGGGCCTATCAGACTAGAGCTTTTCCTTGCTTAAGAAAGAGAGACTGATTGGATTGATTGTAGAGTGATCTCTCCCTGTAACTACAACTCGAAATTCAATAACAAAGCAAAGTAAGTAAACTACAAGGTATGTCTATTGGTATGCCTGTCGATTTCTTGCTTTTTGCTAGGATTTATTAAATGAGATTTAGTTGGTGTTACATCTACAGCACCTCTTTGATCGAAAGGAAGATCTAGTTCTTCCGATTAGAAAAGCTAGAACTAGAACTTGGATATATGGGTCCCCTAGAACCTATTTACAGAGCCCCCTAGTTTCATTTAGTCGAAGACTTTGCGCTTCACTCCTCTCTCTCCTTAATGGCTCGAGCAATCTCCGTTTTCGCAGTACTACTATCGAGGTAGGCTGCCCATGGAAACACCCGGTTATCAAAAACTTCTTATGAACTCTAACCCTTTTAACTTCAAATACGTTATCTCCCCCTGAGACAGGAGCACTAAAGTAACGAAGCGCTAAAGAGCTAGAGCTGAATACCGAATGGAACATAAGAAAGCTAACCTTTATCTGCCTTAATAAGAATCTCTTCTTTTATTACTTACTCCTCCAAAAGCCAGCTCAGGTGAGAAAGAAGTGTGCATCGATACCGGTAACAATAAAGGTCCAACTTACAGGAGTCTATCGAGGCTTGGAGGAATTGGCCACCAAGAGCAGGGAAAGTGAAGATTTTCACTAAAGCCTCGGGGGAAAAACACTAAGACTCGATCCCACGCTTTCTATGACTGAACTGCGCTTCGCTTCTAAGTTGGGTCAGTCAGATCATTATCAGATCAAATTTTTCCTTCTTCTATTTCGGATGTAAAAATGCACTTTGACGTACTTCCTCCCCGATGACCCCAGTTTCCAGCTACAGGCAAAAGTCCTTTCAAGATCGTCCAAACGAGCCCCCGCAAGTAAAGAGGTTTCAAGATACCAGGCGACCAAGTGAAAGTTCAGTCATAGAGATTTTGGTTGGAAGCTTCTGATCTGAATTAGAATTATTAGACCTTTCCGCGGGTGGCCCGAAATTGACTTGACTTTGCCACGCAAACATTGGTGAGAAGACGATTCACCGATTGGCACTTCTGTATTCACTCGTCCGTTAATCATCAGTTCGACGTCAATCCCCGGGGCTCCACTTGGATCCGGCTCCTTTCTTGCCAATTCCCCGAGCCACCCTATTCTGTGTTCAGAACTAAGCGAAGCGAAGGTCGGGTTTCGTCCCCTTCTCTTCGTTCATGTCTTTTGATATGCACACTGACTCCACAAGTCAAGCTTTCCAGCCGCTAAAAGCGATGAGTTTGTTCCTATGCCATTTTCTTCGTTCACTTTTGAAGCGTCAGTTCCAGCAGTTGGACTCTCTTTCGAAATTCCTGTCTGGAAAGAAATCAGGCTCGTTGAGACCTCAATTCAATTTCATTGCACGATCGAATCGAATTGCTCGATTCCCGGAAAATGCACAAGCAAAAGACGTATAAAAGCATTTCTTTGAAAGGAAGAGAACGAGAATGGAGGCTCGATGTAATTGACCTGAACTAGAATAGCCTTATTTTTCTTTGTTGGACCTCATTTGTACCTTTTCTGAGCAGACCAATCAGTCATTTTAGAATTCCTTGACTTTTAGTCGTTCGATGTAATTGACCTCTCTTTCACTTCGCTTCGCCAATACTTCTGACTGAACTGCGCTTCAAAAAGTTTGTACCTTTCAGTCGAGCTCAATTGCATAGAACCTGCTTCGTACTTTCCAACCTCTTTCACTCCCACCCGTTGTCCCTCTCTCGCTCCTTTTATGTAGCTCGTTCCCTAAACTAAAGGACCAGTGACTATCGGTAGAGTCCAAAACATCCCTCCCCCTATCGGTGGAGCTACTGCGTTCCTCCTAACCTCTCGTTCCAAGTATGTAACTCGTTCCTATCGGTTGAGCACTACATACCGTAACCGTAACAACAACTCATACGAGTGACTTCTTCCCCCCTCCTCCTCTCTAACTCCTAATTCCTAGCCTCTAGTTGCTTCTAAATTACATCTATCCTAACAGAAAAAGGTAGCTACTTGACTCTGAAAAAAAGAAGGCTTGGCTTACTCTTTCAACCAACGGCTAAGGCCAATAGAAGGACTTAAACCCAAGTTCTAACACATGAGCTACAGGTCCTGATACGGATAGCACGTGAGACCCATTGGATATATTGATCCAAGAACCAAACGTATATGTAGGCAGCGGAATCCCAGATCGGAGATCTAGTTTGATCGTACCTAGAGCTTGAAAACCTCGACCCGTTAGCTATATAATCAGCTAGGAACCTCGGTATGGTGATCGCCATAAGATCTTGCTCAAGTATCTTGATAAGTTCTTAAAACATTTGAAACTCTACAAAAGAGAATTCAACTCACAAAAGTGATTTTTAATATTCAGCAATATTCATAATTATCATTAAAACATAAAATGGTCTTTTTAAAGGCTACAAATTGTGCTAATGAGTTAATCCCGTTTTTGGGACTCATTAAGCACTAAAAACATAGTTTTGACTACATAAATAAAGATTACATGACTTTTGAATGACCCTTTGACTTCTAAGATAACTAAAGAGACATTTTGGTCTCACAAATGCTGAAAATAGACAAAATAATGGACACTTCAATTGGGCTACATGACATGGACGAAATTATGTCTTCAATCCATGAATTAGTCTTTATGCGAACAATCTGGCCCATCAACTTGAAGAATATTCATCAATTTGCCTTCAATCGTTGTTCCTTACGTCTTCTCTTGAAATTCAACAATAAAACACTCAAGACTTCCTTCTTTTTACTAGTTGTTTCCCTCATGATCGGTCCAGCATTTATTTTCAATAGATCCATCTTACTTTGAACAGAGAGCTTCAACCGAACCCCATCATTCCCTTCTTCTTCAAAAGGATTCGTCCTCGAATCCAGAAGTATATGATTAGCATGTATTGGCACAACATCACATAGGACCTCTTCGAACTTGGGTGTCTTCTCCTTGTGGACCTCATCGACCTCCACTACAGCATCATCAATCTTGTCGTCCCAAATAGCAGGACCATCATACTTGATTCTGGCACATCTTTGAACTCGTCTTCAACCAAACGTGGAACTTTGTACTCGGTTGACACGTGCTCGTCCATGAGTTTGGTGGCCTCCACATCTTCAGAGTATCCCGGAAACTCAAACAAGAATAAGTATTCCTTGCGCCTTTCATTGGCGATTCTACCTTCATTGCCCTTACCCCTAGAATTGCTCGATAGTGCCACGCCTCCACCTTGGGGCGTGTTGTCCATGTACAGCCCCCCGCTTCATGCCTCCGTGCGCGTCTCCTTGTGGTTCGCCCACCGTACAGCGGCCAAGTACTCGGAAGATTTGGGTGGCAACTTGATCCTCATACGAAACATCTTCTTTTCAATCCGCTCCAAAGTTTGGAAACTTGATTGCATGAGATCCATCCACTCCTTGTTGCATATTTTTTTTTTTTTTTTTTTTTTA